AAGGAAGGAAGGAAGGAAGGAAGGAAGGAAGGAAGGAAACAAATGAGCAAAGTAGAGAAGCAGTTTCCCTAAAGTTACGCATGAGTCCCAGCCAGGTCTGGATCTGCAGCCCAGTCTGGTGTCCCCGACTCCCAGCCCAGTACCTTTCCTGTTTTCAGTCAGATTTTTGGTCAATAAAGGCATAGTTTTACCCTTAGTGGATACTAACCAAGGGATATGGAGAGTCCTCCTGGGGGTGTAGGGGGCTGTACTACTCTGCCTGTTGCTTTGACCCCTCATGCCTTGTGACATTACAGAGCACCTACTGTGCCACCATGGTCCAGCACTGTGAAGCCCTCAATCGATCTGTCCAAGTTGTGAACCTAGATCCTGCAGCAGAACACTTCAACTACTCTGTGATGGCTGGTGAGTCCTCAGCAGGGCCTTCCCCCTCCTTCAGGAAAAATAAGGGGGTGGAGAAACCATAAGTGCAGGCTGCTTGGCACAAAAGCTGAAATTTTTAATTACTACAGTTTGCTTCCCTGTTTTATAGTGAACAGCATGAGGCTGAATGTCATTTGGTGACATCCACTCATGTGGACATAGGTGACAGTATCCTTTCCTGGTCTTTGTTTAAGAATTAAGTGAGTAGACTCCTCCCTTGTCACACTTCCCTTCTGTCCCTTTCATGCTTAGTCCTGGTGTGGTGAATCAGGTTTACTGCTGATCATAGTATAAGTAAGCAGCCTGTTTTGTTTTTTAAAATTCTTTTCATTTATTCATTCAGTTGAGCACATGCTTTATAAACATTGCAGATTGTCCTAAGGATTGCAAATAGGCTGATGAGAGGGAGTAAGTGGGGAAGTTGGTTTAGGAAGGGTAGTCGGGGAAAAGTCTCAGGAAGGGAGATTTGGACCCAGACCTGATGATGATAGTAATGTGCTCACCAAGCAGGGGAGAGGCCTTCCAAGATGAGGGAACTCAGGGCAATAAACAGCCTAGAGACAGAAGGGGTTTGGTGTGTTCCAGAAAAAGTAAGTATGTCAATGAGCTGGAACATAATGAGTGAAGCAAAGAAGTGCCAGTAGGACATGAGAAGTTTGGGTTTTATCCTGTGTTCTTAGTCCACTTGAGCTGCCTTAACAAAACCCCACAGGCAGGGCAGCTTATAAACAACAGAAATGTGTTTTTCATGGTTCTGGAGGCTGGAAGTCCAAGATCAGGATGCCAGCAGAGTCAGGTTCTGGTCAAGGACATCTTCTAGGTGGCAGACTGCTGACTCCCATGTCAGCAACTCTCATATTATGGAAGGGGACAAGGGACCTCTCTGGGACCTCTTTTATTAAGAGCACTAACCCCATTCATGAGACACCATCCTCATGACCCAGTTGCCTCCCAAAGGCTCCAGCTCCTAATATTATCACCTTGGGCATTAGGTATTCAACATAGGAATTTCAAGGGGACACAAACATTCAGTCTATAGTACCTGTCAGCAGTAGAGTACCATTGGAGGGTTTAAAGCAAAGGAGGGGATTGACATCCGATATACTTTTTTTTTTTAAAGAAATACAGTCATCTTTTTTTTTTAAGTTTATTTATTAATTTTGAGAGAGAGAGCAAGCACAAGTGGGGAGAGGGGCAGAGAGAGAATCCCAAGCAGGCTCCGCACAGTCAGCCCCAACAAGGGGCTCGAACTCATGAACTGTGAGGTCATGACCTGAGCCAAAATCAAAAGTTGGGTGCTTAACTCACTGAGCCACCCAGGTGCCCCAATATACATTTTTAAAGATACTGACTCCCAGATGAAAAACAGAGATTCTAGGGGTCAGGAGTAGCAGGGACTAGCAGTATGGCTCTTGAAAATGTCCAGGTGGCTTGGACTAGTGTGGTTATGGTACAGATGGAAAGAAGCAGATAGATTTGGTATCTACTTTGCAAATGGAATTAGCATTCTGTGGGAGAGTGAACCAGAAGGGTGTAAGAAAGGGAGGAATCATCAAGGGTGACTCTTAGATCTCTGACTTGAGTGTCCTGAATTGCTGAAGAGAGCATGTGGTACCATTTACCAGGAAGGAGGACAAGTCTGTTTAGGTTTAGGGCAGTTCTCTTTGCACTTACTAAGCTGGAGATGTCTGACATACCTAAGAGGCAGCATCAGGGAACCAATTGGATATAATAGTCTGGGACTCTGGGACAAGGTCTGGCCTAGAGATATAAGTTGGCAAATCAGCAGCATATAGACAGAACATAAGCCTCCAGGGCTGGATGAGATCATCTCAGGAGGAAGTATGGTGAGAGAAGAGAACCCAAGGCCAAGCCTTGAAGTTGTCTGATCTTCAGAAGTCTGGTGGAGGCAGTGGAGTCAGTGAGATAGGAAAGCCAGAAAAACATTGTATCACAGAAGCCAGGAGGAGAGACAGTTTCAAGAAAGAGCTTGTGCTTGGTGATGTTCTTGATGGTTAGGAGTTCACGTAAGATGAGGACAGAAGTGGGTGTTAGACGTGGGGACATGGAAGTGGTTGGTGGTGACTGTGCCTAGAGGTTTCAGCAGAGCGGTTTGAAGAGTGGCCCGAAGGTGATGCAGTGACGCGGACAGGAGACAAAGTTTCACTGTGAAAGGAGCAGAGAAGTGGGATGAGAACTGGAGGGGATAGGAAGGTCAAGGGAGGTTTCCTTTTAACGTTGGAGATGCTAACTGGAACACTGGGTCGGACTTGATTGCTGAAGAGAACGATCCAGTAGAAAAAGAAACTGAAAATGCCAGACGGTGGGAATAACTTCACGAGTGAGAAAGGGAGGGGAAATCCCAAACAAGTGGAGGGCTTTGCCTTCAGGAGTGGGGGGCTTTTTTTTTTTTTAAAGAAATTATCTCTTTTATTTTTAAGAAATAGAATCAACATGGGGCTCAAACTTAACGCCGCGATCAAGAATTGCATGCTCCACTGACTGAACCACCAGGTGTCCCTGGAGTGGGGTCCTTCTTCCTTGCAAGCAGAGGGAAGGCAGGGTGGAAGGCACCATGTAATAGTGGTGGTGGGAATATGGGAAATTCTCTTTGGTTGGCTTCTGATTTCTATTAATGATATTTGTGCCATCAGGACGTTAGAGTGGCTGGAAGTGGGTGCGAGTGGGGTGGAGGAGGCAGGTTGAATAGTCATCTTCCTTGAAAAAACATCATTGCATTGCTTTGGGATTGTTTTGTTGCACCCAACATAAAGCACTCAAGCCAGCTTACATAAAAGGATTATTTAGAATGAACAAGGGAATCTCTTACAAAACCCAAGAGGAAGGCTTTATGAGAGACTAGAACCCAAAACACAAAAACTAACAGAAACTAAAGCCGGCTTTCTGTCTTTCTCTGCCTTTTTCTCTCTCTTACAGACCAGCTTTCTCCGCTTCAGGTGGCCCAGCAAAGTGCCTCCAACTTCAGGTTCACATCCCTTTCTGGTCCAGGTGTCTTAATGACTGACTTGTGTCCTTTTATTTATTTATTTATTTATTTTTAATTTAAAAAAATTTTTTTAATTTATTTATTTTTGAGAGATAGAACACGAATGGGAGAGGGGCAGAGAGAGAGAGAGACACACACAGAATCTGAAGCAGGCTGTAAGCTCTGAGCTGTCAGCACAGAGAGCAACCCATGAACTGCGAGATCATGACCTGAGCCAAAGTCGAATGCTTAACTGACTGAGCCACCCAGGCACCCCTTGAGTCATCCTTTTAGGAGACCTATTTTATTGTCTCAACTTGGGTCAGATGTTTATCCCCTGGATAGGGAGAGGAAATGCATAGGAAGATATTATCCATATAAACATGGCTATGAGTGAGGCATTTCTCTGTGAACAGAGATTATAGTTTTGTTTTGTTTTGTTTTTTAATGTTTATTTATTTTGGGGAGAGAGAGACAGAACATGAGCAGGGGAGGGGCAGAGAGAGAGAGACACAGAATCCAAAACAGGCTCCAGGCTCTGAGCTGTCAGCACAGAGCCTGACACAGGGCTCGAACTCAGGATCATGACCTAGTCCGAAGATGGACGCCTAACCTACTTAGCCACCCAGGTGCCCCTAGAGATTGTAGGTTTGAGCACAAACATAAAAAACCTGTGGTAGAAAGTTATAAGGAATAAATTTCCAAAATTAGTAGTAGAGAAGAACTATACATATACCAGAATTTTTAAGCTCCTGCTATAGGTGATTTAGCTACATTATCCCATGGAGTCTTCATCCTTCTACCCCAGCATATATGATTTGTCCGCCATTTTATAAATAAAGAAAGTGAGATGCAGAGAGGTTACATAGCTTCCCTGAGGTCATGATGTTAAGAAATAGCAGTTGGTTTTCTTGGTTTGGTTTTGTTGTACTTGTTTTAGAATAAGTAGTATATATTCACATGGTTCAAAATGCAAAAGGTACAAAGAGTAAGTATACAAGAAAACGTCTCCCTCCCAGCTCTGTGTCTCATTAATCAGCTCCCCTACCTGGAGGCATCCAGTGTTGCCAGTTTCTAGGATGTTTTTCCGTATAGAGTCTGTGCATATAAAATCACATATGTGTGTTGTTATGTATATAGTGAATCTTTGTCTTTTTGTTGTTGTTGTTGTTGTTGACACATATGATGGCATTTTTACACAGAGTTCTGTACCTTAAACTTTTCACTTGAAAGTATACCTGGGAGGGCCGCCTAGATGGCTCATTCGGTTAAACGTCCAACTTCAGCTTCGGTCATGATCTCGTGGTCTGCAGGTTGGATCCCCACGTCGGGCTCTGTGCTGACAGCTGGGAGCCTAGAGCCTGCTTCAGATTCTGTGTCTCCCTCTCGATCTGTCTCTCTGTCTCTGTGTCCATCCTCGCGCGCGCGCTCTCTCTCTCTCTCTCTCTCTAAAATAAACGTTAAAAAATAAAAATAAAAAAGTAGACCTGGAAGACTGTATCACATGCATACTTAAAAGAACTTCTCCTTTTTATGGCTACATAGGATTCCAGTATCTGGCTATATAGTAATTTATTTAATTAGTTCCCACAAATACTGCTACTCGATCGGAAGTGAATAATCATGTACAGGAATAGTTTCATATATGTGATTTTTTTATATAATTATTAACTCTCACTAGTGACGATAACAATTTTTGAATGGATGTTCTTATATTCTGGGCCCTGTCTATCTTTTGCAGACATTCGAGAGCTGATCGAGGTGGATGATGTCATGGAGGATGACTGTCTGCGGTTTGGTCCCAATGGAGGATTGGTATTTTGCATGGAATACTTTGCCAATAATTTTGACTGGCTAGAGAACTGTCTTGGCCACGTAGAGGATGACTATATCCTTTTTGACTGTCCAGGTAAGTCTACAATTTGAACATGACCTTTTTCTTGAAGTTGTGCTGGCTCTATCCTCAGTGAGAAAAAGTGGACTGAGCCTTTGTAGCTCTAAACCATATTGCAGTGAAGTACAAAGCTCTTATTCATTGACTCTAACTCATTCATGAGTTTACTGAGGGTTTACTTTGTATGCTGGGAATACCATACAGAGCCAGGAAGCCATGGCCTTTGCTCTCACGGAGCCCTCAGTCAAGTGGAAGTGCTAAACAGAATGAACAAAATCACCCAAATTATTATTTAATATTCATTTTTGGTAGGTTCTCCACAGGAGTAGTACAGACCCCCACATAGCAAGATTAGGAGTCGTCTGATCAAGTGGCCCGTAAGCTGGGCTGTGAGGTGGAGGTGAGGGAAACCATGGTCCAGGCAGAGGGCACAGCATGCCAAAAGCCTTGAGACAGGAAAAAGTGAGATGGGTTTGGGGCACTGAGAAGGCCAGTGTGGCTGGAGTACTGAAAACCCAGGGAAATGTCATGAGGTGAGGCTGGTGGGGGACACATAATCACGCACAACTTCTTAAGCCAAATTGTGAATTTTATTTTATTTATCTTTTAATGCTTATTTATTTATTTTGAAAGAGAGAGAAAGAACAAGCTGGGGAGGGGCAGGAGGTGGGGGGACAGAGATCCAAAGCGGGCTCTGTGCTGACAGCAGAGAGCCCAATGTGGGGCTCGAACCCACAAACCGTGAGATCACGACCTGAGCCAAAGTTGGATGCTTAACCAACTGAGCCATCCAGGCGCCCCTATTTTTTTTTAATATTTATTTATTTATTTTGAGAGAGAGAGAGAGAGAGAGCAAGCACATACAGGAGAGAGGCAGAGAGAGAATCCCAAGCAGGCTCCCGACATGGGGCTAAATCTCACGAACCATTAGATCATGACCCAAGCCAAAATCAAGAGTCAGGTGTTTGACTGAGCCACCAAGCTGCCTCAAAATTGTGAATTTTAGACTTGAGTCTAACCTAGATGTGATCATTTGTGCCCTCACGTTATTTTCCCTTGCTTTTAATTGAACCTACAGAAAAGTGCATATATCCCAAGCATACAGCTTGATGAATATTCCCAAACAACACACCCCTTTGTAGCACTTGCTTTTGATTCCCTTTATTAACCATTTTTAGAAAATTTTTTTTCACGTAATTTAATGAGTTCACATATTTCCTGTTTATAATAGTCTTGTTATTATTCTTCATGTAGGTCAGATTGAGCTGTATACGCACCTGCCTGTGATGAAACAACTAGTCCAGCAACTGGAACAGTGGGAGTTCCGAGTCTGTGGAGTTTTTCTCGTTGACTCTCAGTTCATGGTGGAGTCATTCAAGGTTTAGATCAATCATACCGATTTTTTAGTCATGGGTATATGCAGGTGACAGTCTTCTTTAATCACTGTGTGATTCTGGACATTTCAAAACGATATTCCAGAATTATTTAGTATCCCTTATTCAGTTATTATAATGATGTATTTTTAAGTCAAAATATGATATCATATAGATTTGGGGGAACTACTTACCAAGAAAAATAAAGCAAGTGTATAGTTTATAAGTCTATTTTTGATTCTCTGAGGGCCTTTGGTCTAGCTTATGAACTGTATTTCCCATTAATCGCTCTTAAGGAATATTCGATGAAAAGAAGTTAAACATCTAGATTGAGGTTTGTGATCACTGTAAATTTTTTTTTAAGATTTTATATTTAAGTAATTCCTACACCCATGTGGGGCTTGAACTTACAGCCCCAAGATCAAGAGTTGTGTGCTCAGATGACCAAGCCAGCCGGGCTTGGTAATTTACAATTGTAATTTACAATCACTGTAAATTAAATCTACCTCTTCCTTCTTTATTCTCACCTTCGGAAACCAAGGGTCAACCATCTGATGAATGGACTGTCTTTTCTTTAGGACTAGCATTTCTTTTATTTAGGCCAGTTTTGTTCCAATGAGGAGTAAAAGCCTCTCTTTTATTCAGAGACCAGCAAATTTTATTGGCAACAATTAATTTATCTTCCCTTTTCTGTTTCCTCCTTCAGTTCATCTCTGGCATCTTGGCAGCCCTGAGTGCCATGATCTCTCTAGAAATTCCACAAGTTAACATCATGACAAAAATGGATCTGCTGAGCAAGAAAGCTAAAAAGGAAATTGAAAAGTGAGTTCACTTCTTCCATTATCATCAGATTTTAATTGCAGAGATGTGAAATTCTGTCAGTCTACAAAACTAGTTCCTGATTTATTCTTCATTTTATTCATCATTTTTCTCTCCTTCGAAGGTTTCTAGATCCAGACATGTATTCTTTATTAGATGATTCTGCAAGTGACTTAAGAAGCAAAAAGTTCAAAAAATTGACTAAAGCTATATGTGGACTGGTAAGCTTTCAAGTTTTGTTTTGTTTTTTTTTAAGTTTATTTATTTTGAGAGAGAGGAGAGAGAGAACCAGTGGGGAGGGACAGAGAGAGGGGGATACAGAGGATCCGAAGCTGGCTCTGTGCTCACAGCAGAGATCCCGATGCGGGGCTTGAACTCACAAACCAATGACATTATGACCTGAGCCTAAATCAAGAGTCAGATGCTTAGCCCACTGAGCCACCCAGGCTCTCATCAGGGTTGTTTTTTTTTTTTAAAAACCCGACCATAACCTGACCATAACCTGGTCAGCTGTTTACCCATAGCTAGTCAGTGGCCACTATTACAGGAAGCAGAGTCCAACCCTATTCCTTGCAAAAGGGAGGAAGGTAGGGGCAGGCTGTGGCCAGTCTGTAGCTTAAATTACTTACTTACTTACTTACTTACTTACTTACTTACTTACTTACTTATTTATTTATGAGAGCACACGTATATGCACACATGGGGAGGGGCAGAGGGAGAGAGAGAATCTTAAGCAGGTCCCACACCCAGCACATAGCCTGATACAGGGATCATGACCTGAGCCGAAATCAAGAGTCAGACACTTAACCAGCTGAGCCACCCAGGCACCCCTCAGGAGTTTAATTTAGAAGTAGTTATTGGCAGTAGCTGATAAGTTAACTGATGTGTCTACTATTCTAAGCTTTCTGGGGAGGTCAGAACTGTCTGTGCCCTTTTTAAATTCCTGGTGGTTGTTGAATTCAGATAAATGCGTATGAAACAGTAAGTGTCTAGTTAAAGAGTAAGTTAATGAGTATCCGGGAGGTTAGAGGGCAGAAAAATCAATGATGATTTGCTGTTGTTCTGTGTCTATCCCTCCTCCCCCTCCTTCCACATGCAGATGTTTTAAATCGGAAGTATAAATGGTTATAAAAGAAAATGTAAGTTGAAAGTTAAGTCTTTAAACAGCTTCAGAATGACCCTTTCTGAAATTCCCAACTTGTAGATTGATGACTACAGCATGGTTCGATTTTTACCTTATGATCAGTCAGATGAAGAAAGCATGAACATTGTGTTACAGCATATTGATTTTGCCATTCAGTATGGAGAAGACTTAGAATTCAAAGAACCAAAGGTAATTTTGATTATTGGCTTTTGGTATCAATGTTTGCCAGCACTCAGTGGCCTCTTACATATTCCCAGCAACTCCTTAAATTTTGTCTTACAGCAGTGGTAATCTGGGCTTTTCTGGGAGATCTCTGAAATTGACATCTTTGCTCAACAAGCAGTATCAGTTCTACTCCCTGTTATTGAGGCTACAGTATTATTAAGTTTCTTTGTTCTCAGAGCGTGGGGGCATGTGCAGAGAGGAGATGAAATCCAATTGAACTTGGGCTGCCCTCACATGTCACTGGGAAGCCTGGTGGTAGTCATCGTAGGCCGCATCTCAGCAAAGTAGCTGAGAATCAGCAGGTGTAAACTCAAGTGAGAACTGCTTCCAATGAGTTACAGGCACTTTGATTTACCACTTAGCTGGAAAAATTCTATCACTCATGCCTTTTGTCACTGTAAAATACACCTAAAATGCAGTTGGGCATTATCTCCTGGTAGGGCATTGCCTGAAAAATATGTAAGCACGTACTAGGTCTACCTTAGGGGAAATGAATATTTTCTATTTTGTTCTTTGTGTCAGGAACATGAAGATGAGTCTTCTTCTATGTTTGATGAATATTTTCAAGGACACCAGAATGAATGAAGAATTTTTAAAATAGTAACCATATATGTGAAGCACTGTGGCTGAACCAGCAAGACATTGTTCTCTTCAAAGGATGCAGTACTAGAAAGCTACTTATTTTAATGAAAAAAGTAATACTTGGCTCTTTAGCAGCAGCATGCCTGAATCAAGTTCTAGTTATTCTTCAATGGCTGGTGTTTCAGGTGGAATCTTTTAGTATCATTTTAACAGCATCAATTTAGATTTTAAATGTTGAAGTTGAAATGAATGCACATAGGCTTGTATATAGTATGAATGAGCGCTTGTGGTACATTTAGGACCCAGTCTACCTTTATTTCTACTGTTGGGTTTTTGTTATTTTTGAAAGGTTTTTTTTTTGGAGAGGCAGGGATTATTGTAATAAAACATATGTATGTGTGTCCAAAGGAAAAAAATCTAGAAGGATAGAGTTAAGACCCATTGCTTACCTATATCTCTGAGTTTTCCTACTTTGAAAATGTATCATTTGTGTAATTAAAAAATGAAAAGTAACTTTTAAAATATATATGTATGTATGTAAATAAAATAAATAGAAAATAGCACTAACCTTTCATTACACTCTTGTTTTCCAGTCAGAATTTGAAATACTCAGCCAGGGGCACCTGGGTGCCTCAGTCACTTGAGTGTCCAACTTCTGATATCAGGATCAAAACAAAAGTCAGGAACCCAGGGTCATGGGATTGAGCCCCACATCAGGCATCAGGCTCCATGCTGAGCATGGAACCTGCTTGAGATTCTCTCTCTCCCTTTACCCCTCCCCAACGCACATGTGTGCTCTCTCTCATTCTCTCTCTCTCTCTCTCTCTCTCTCTCTCTCTCTCTCTCTCTCTCTAATAAGAAAAAAAAAAAATGAAATACTCAGCCAGGGCAAATTTTTAAATGAATAAATTTGCCCAGTCATCAAAATGTAGTCAGTGATTTCTTTAAAAATGCAGTTTTTACTTACTCATTTCATTTCATTTCATTTCATTTCATTTATTTCATTTCATTTCATTTATTTCATTTCATTTCATTTCATTTCATTTCATTTCATTTATTTCATTTCATAAGAGAGAGAGAGAGAGCAAGCAGGGTAGGAGCAGAGAGGGGAGAGAAAGAATCCCAAGCAGGCTCCGCACTGTCAGTGCAGAGCCTGATGCAGGGCTTAGACTCATGAACCGCAAGATCATGACCTGAGCTGAAATTAAGAGTCAGACACTTAACCAACTGAGCCACCCAGGCACCCCAAAAATTCAGTTTTTAGTCTCTGAGCATTTAAAAATGTATAGTTTCCTGGAGTAACATGCACACAAAAATGCAAAAGATGTAAAGTTTTTTCTTTTAACTAATGTGCACATTGGTCAAATTGTTTCTTTTCAGTGTTTTTAAGTTCAGTGGGGTTGGGTATGAAAGCATGGAGAATGGCTAGTCAGTCAACAGATATTTTTCTAGTATCTACCGTGGGCCAGGCCCTGCTAAAGCCCACCGAGTTCTACCAGGCATTGTGCTAAGAAGTATCTTACATAGTCTTGGGGTGCCTGGGTGGCCCAGTTAGTTAAGCGTCTAACTCTTGATCTTGGCTCAGGTCACAATGTCATAGTTCATGAGTTGGAGCCCGTGTTGGGCTCTGCACTGACAGCACAAAGCCTGCTTGGGAGTCTGTCCCTCTCTCCCTCTGCCCTTACCCTGCTCTCTCTTGCATGTGTGCGCTCTCTTTCAAGTCTTTTTTAAAAAGGTAAAAAAGAAACATTTTCTAGTTTCTTTCACTTTCATATCCTCGTAATGGGCCCAGGCTTCATTGGTCATTTGGTCCTGGATCTTCTAGCAATACAAATTAAGCCCTTTAACCCGCAACTCCAGTTAAATTTTAATCACTCTTAGGCCTTGATAGCAGGAGAGACACCTGTAGTGTCACATTTGATCCATTTTAACTAAAGACTTGCAAACTGTGAGAAACTGTAGCTTTCAGTGGTAACTTGTGTCTGGGGGCTTAGGCTATGAGTACAAGTCAGGTATTTGCATCATGGTGCACTGGTGTGAGCTATTGTCATGGGGGGGCGGGCAATAAGGCGAGAACATGAATGGGCATCATGGGAATGTGCTGTCCTGCTTGGGGACTCTCCCTGTGGCCCTGAGTATGAAAGGGTAAAAACACTCTGGTCTCCCCATGTTGCAAATTCTTAGAAATTTTATTGCCATGGAAGAAAGGAAAGGCAACTTCGTTTGCCCTCGTTGCTCCTTGAACTATTTTGCCCTGGCTTAGCTTCTGGAGTCTGGTATGTGCCTCTAGGCAAGAAGTGAAGGGCCAAATTGAATTTCCTTCCCCTCAAGACATGGGTTTTAAAGATGACTATGTCCATTCCAGTCCTCAAGGATTTCATTATCTTGCTGAAGATCCTGACATGATTCTGTGGAAAAATTTACTGGTGGGTGCCAGGCACTGGAGATAAAATGGGAGCACTCAGAGCAGACAAGGCCTTAGTCTCATGGAGTTGACATGCTGGGCCCTTGAGACCATAAACAAGGAAACCTTGATAAGGAATGGGAAGAAATGAAAACAGTAATGAAGTGGAGAGTGAATAAGGGGCTACTTTGGGCTCATTGTCAATGAAGGCTCCTAAATGGTGCTATTTGGCCAGAAACCTGAGTAAGAAATCATTTGTGGGAACATGGGGCAGAGTATTCCATTCTGAGGGGCTGGCAGGAGAAATAGCCTGAGGCAGCAATAAGGTGGCACCTGAGGTGATGCTGGAGAAGATCATCAAGAGGATGTGACCACTGGTTGACCCTTAAACTGGACTCAGGCAGTCCAAGGTTCCTCATCCCTCCCACCCCTCGCTGTGGGAGATGTTCCAAGGACATGGTCTTGAGACTAAGGTGTTGAGCCCATCTGGATGTGACTGAACCCAATTATGACCTCTATACAAACTTAGTCTGGCATGTAGGTGGGGACATCTACTCTTGCCTCACCAAAGATAACCCTTACAAGTAAGTTTCCTCGCTTAATTAGAACCACCACCTATATATCTGGATTGGCCTTCCTTTTCAGTCTTCTTGCCTCCTGTATACAAGGGCCAGTTCGCAAACTAACACATGAGGTGCTTTCTAGTAATAGGT